TTCTGGTTCATCCGTTTCAGTTAATGATCCACTTTCGCTCTACTCATTCTGAGTCGCCGCCAGGTGCGTAAGTAAACACATGCACATGCGCATTTTACCCATATTCTATCGCGATATTTCATTTTCTTATTGTTGCTTAACATTACACCGGTATTACCGTGAACTGTATGATATAGCCCAGCCCTAATCCCCACCTCCCGTTCTGTACTAAATATGCAGTCTGCCTTGTTTTTATTCGATTTCTACTCTCTTCTCTACTTCCATCTGTGTCTGTCCAAACTCTGGTGTTTTGCCTGGTGGTTCGCTGCCACTTCTCTTCCTGCCAGCAAAGCCATCTTTTCCACTCGCCTATAGTGAAAATAGGCCCTCCCACAGGTCACCTTTTTACAGCAGGGGTTTGCACCTGATTGAGTGCTGCATAGGAATGTTAAACTCTGTTGCGAGGGTGGTGGTATTTAGTGCTGGTGCTTCTTCATTTCATTCAGTCACTTTTCTCCCTTGTATGTTTTTGGACACAAGGTTTAGTTGTCTAGGAACAGAGGAAGTGGTTGTATTGAAATTAGTTGCTCATCCTGTCCACGCCTATCGTTATCCAGGGTAACTCCTGCCTTTCATTAAGGCTGTAAAATTAATAAATGAGGCTACAAGATGGCAGCGATTAAACTGAGGACCTAACAAATGCAAAGTGAATTGCTTTAAGCCTGAAATTCACTTTTTTTATTTTCACGTAGCTCATCGTTTTTGTTTAGAGCTTCTTCATTCAGGTGAACGACTTCATGAAAGTCCGATTTTTATCACAGCAGTGTACCGTTCAGAGTTCACCTCTCATAACGCTCTGTTAACATTTACATGAGCTGTACTACTTGTGTGTCTCTGTGAATTGTGTGTCATCTTTAGAGTTTAAAAGAAGGCAAATAGGCTTTTTTAGGTTTATTTGAAGATGTTTCACCTCTCAAGATGCTTCTTTGGGTCTAGAACTGATGGAAAGTCCCAGGTAATGAACCCCTGGTGGAGGCTGTGTTATCCTTGTTCCTTGTTCCTTTCAAGGGTGGTTCAGTGTATCTCGTCCTAAAGGAGAGAATGAAAGAAGCACTCAAACACCTTCTTTTCATATTTAGAGAATCTGAAGAGCTACTTCTGGGTCACTCCCCCCATTTAGAGTCCTGTGTCTTCAGCAACGGTCCACGTCTTACAGTCTCACGTTGGTGCACTTTTGTGTTTCTGCCCTGACTGGACTCTTAACACCTAATGTAGCAATCTGAGGAGTTAAAACCTCCCTCTTGCACATTTTGGTGATTTTGGACCCTGAAGGTTTTCCCCCCTCAGCCGTAAAAGTCTGATGGGATATTGTTTCGACCCTGCCGGGCACGCAAGCAACATGATCACATTCACAAGTTTGTGAATGTGACACCTCGACTCTACTAAAAATCTCAAATAAGTTTGAGTCTCAGTGACCTTGACCTCAAGGTTAGAAGTCAAAGGTCAAGTTTTCTAAAAATCTTGTGAATGTGAAAACTTCAGAACACAGTCACGTAGCATTTTGAAATTCATGCTGTAGGTGTCTCTACTAGGAGGCTAAAGGGTACTACTGGTCACCGCCAGTATTTTTGTAGATGAAGTTTTGGTAACAGCAGGTGGTGTTTTTGTCCTCTCAGGTGTAGTGCGTGGTGTTTATGCACAAACTGGTGACATGAAAAACACCTGCCTCCGTGGGATTCAAAGTTTTGTTTTGTTTTTTTTTTAATTTTTGCTTTTTCTTGCATACAGTTTGTTCCATGTAAAGGCATCAACAGCCCAACAACAACTGAGTTAGCTAGCATTATACCATTTAGTCAAGCATAACTACTGGCACTATGGAGGTAACAAAAATACTTCGAATTGTGATTATTCTACTTTTAATGATTAAAAGTAGAGTAAACTTAATATTTAAGTACAGTAAAGCATTTTAGCGTATCTGTCAAATAAGAAATTAAAGGAGTTTCCAAAGTTTGAGATAAATGAATCGTATCTTAAAGGAAGCGGTATACATATGAAAAGCACAAATATGGCCTTGAACTAAACTAGCTGTTCACTGGTGTTTCATCTGTTTCATGTATGAACCCATGAAGTCCTGCATGCTGTGGTTTAAAGGTGAAGGAAATGCACAGCAAGGATGTGAGCCGGAGTTGTTTTTGGTGTTTGTTTGTTTGTTTTTGGGGGTTTTTAAAGGAGAAACCAAGATATCCATATAAGTGAAATAAAATCCACAGTAAAGGGCAGGGTCTATTCCTTTATCAAGGAGAAAAACTGCGATGTACAGTTGAAATGAAGACATCTCAGGGGTTAAATACGCCGCAAAACTTCTTTACATGGGCAGAAAGTGCAGTCTTCAGTAGTCCAGGCCACTTCAGCTCATGTTGCCCATGATGTCAAATTAATTTGACATCCTTTATGTAGTTTGTGTACATGATCTAGTCATATTTGGAGATCAGGCCAGCAGTTAATGGATTTTTAAAAACATTTTAAAATGTGTCCTCGCTAAAGAAAAACCCATGTGTGAACAGAGAAGGTGTATATCTGTCATGGAAACTGAATTTGGACGCAGGCTGTAAAGCAGTCTGATAACGGGGAGCTCACACTCCTGGTAGAACATGAGGAGTGCATTTTGTGCCGTTTACCTGCTGATCGTTTTTTAATGTTGTTCTCTAAGCATTAATTATAAACCATCTGTGTGTTGGCATCCAAAAAGCATTGAAACTCTCTATAGCTGCTGCTCAGTCATTGTTCATTACAGCAGGCATGTTTTTGTTTTGTTTTTTTAATTAATTTACTGCAGGCCCGTTTTCAGTCTGGATTCCTGCGCACAGGCATGGCGTGACACAGCAGAATTCAGTTCACAGTAACAATGTTTCCCTCTGAGAGTTGATCCGATGCCAAGTTTAGTCCAACAGCTTCTGTTTTCTGCCCTCTCCGATTGCTGCAAGCTGTGACTTTGTCCACCCCTCAGATTGTCCACAAACCACTTCAGTTATACTGGATCTGTATTCTTTTATTTCAGTGTTTTGATTAGTAATTGAAAGTGAAATTGTGTTTGCTGACTCGTCCGGTGCTGAATAAACACTCCTGCTGGCCGGCTCAGTGAAATGCGTCTCTTTGTTTGGACAGCAGAGTCGTTTATCTGCTCTCAGAGGGCGTTGCAGCTCTGCCGAGTGGTCGTGTGGGTGAGGACGGGATGCCCGTGTGACAAATTGCATAAGTAGCGCTCTTATGGTCCGAGTGCGAATAGATTTCATTGCTGGTTAATTTCCAGCTCTGTGTCCAGGCTCCATTAGAGTTATTGATGTGCAGCGTTCTCCTCTGCTGTAAGGGTTATTATAAGAAGATGATGATCCAATTTCAGTGTCACACACTCAGCAGCTTCTGTGAGCATTGAGATGTCTTAACCATGAAGTCACTCAGCTGCGTTAGCCACCATTTTCTCAAACCGTTTGCTCTTTCTCTTGCAGTTAAAACTTGAAGATCGATCGATCGTCATCAGAGACTTCGTGCGAAGAAACAACTCTAATGTGAGTGCGGCCCTCCGCCTGTTTGGAACTCTTTCACCTTCTCTCTGTCTGCGCCGCTCTCTCGTTTTCCCTCCGACAGTCACGTCACTGTTCATCACTCTGTTTCATTTGCTGCATCAGGCATGACCTGAATATTACTGCAGGTCTGCTTGTGTAGAGGACTGAAAGGAGACTCTTACCTCGTGTAACACGCAGTCTGAATACAAATGAAACATTAAGCGCTGAGGTTTTCTTTTGGTTGAAATTCACAGTGCGAGGTCTTGTGCACGCATAAAACTCCTAAAAGGTCTGAGGTGTTAACAGGCTGATGTGCGTCTCTGTTGTGTTTCAGGATAACCAGTGTGGCTCCGTGACCAACATGAACATCGAGTGTGCAGTGAAATTAGTAGGAACCAACTGCGTTCTGTATCCAGTCAACAGCAAAGACCTGCAGCACATCTGGGTAAGAAGATGAGCCGAAAGACCAAATTTACTAAGATTCAGTTCAGCGTGAGAGCCTCTGCTCTGCTTTGCTTTAAGCTAAATTAGTTTCTCTGCTTTGCTTTCTTTTAACGTTTGTGGATGTTTGACGTGAGGAGAATTAAACTTAAGCACTCAGTGACACGTTCTTGCCTTAAACAGTCCTATATAAATAATCTATACTTTACTCAAGTTAACTGCTTTTCTTACTGCAAGCAAAGGCTTCTAATAACAGGGAAGGTGGTCCTGGTCAGAACAACTTTCCTAAATTGACCTCTAGAGACTCTGCAGCTTCATATGGGGACATTGCATTTTGGCTTTTCTGCACTTTATACTTACCTCTGCTGTATTAGGCTCTTAAGCAAGCCTATTGTCCCCATGTGAGAACAAACTAAAAATAATTACTTTCAGAAACGATACTTACCAGGTTTGACTGATCCCAGTTAGCTGGGAGAAATTAAAAAGAGCAAGAGCTCGAGTCTCAGGAGGTAGAAATCGGACTGAATTTATTTACAACAGTGAAAGTGGAAATGCTGAGACCAGTGAAATAAAAGTCCTGTTTGAGACCTCTCGCGTGATGTTTACACACCTTTGAATTATGTAACACATAAAGATATAAAGCATGCACGACTACCTTAAATGTGTTTTACATCAGCTGCATTTGAGGAGTAAGGAAAAAGCTCTTTTTCACACTAACCGGTATGTGTGTGTTATTATTATTATTATTATTATTATTATTATTATTATTATTATTATTTAAAAAAAGCATTTTATGCACCTACAAATCTTTTTATAATAAAAATGCAGGAAGTGTGTTTAGTTTTAGTCTTCAGTCAGATTCATCCACACATCTGACCTGATGGAAACAGTGGTGCAAAAGTTTGACATTTGACCTTCTTGGAGTCGAGTATCTCTACAGTGTCTCTGCTGTTCTAAACATCTTACATTTTAGCATCTTCCTAATGCGACCTGTAACGTATTAATAAGAAAACACACACACATGAATAGAAACCGCATTAAAACGAAACCTTTTTAAACAGGCAGACAGGAGCAAATCAGCTCTGGAAACAAACTGATGTTAAACTGAATGGAAAACGTAAAGCTGGAACTCAGTGTGATCTGGCTCATAGCTGCTAACTAGCCTTTGCTCTCACACACAGATGCTTTCACAGCACTGCATGGGTTTAGTCTTTATTTCCTTTTCTGAGATCAAATGCGGTGCACAGCACTCGTGTAGCTGTTTTACCGACTGTTGGATTCGTCTACAAACCTTACAGCTGATTTCAGTAACATAATCACTGCTGTCCTGTCGGCTGCACCTCACAGGGACAGCAGAGAGTCACTCACTTCCCACAACAAGTGCTAACGAGGCGATCTTCTTAAAAAGGTCACCGTCCGCGCACGTTTATTGTGCACATTGCAGAAATTTAAGCACTGAAGTGCAGAAATAAATTCGAATACTTTGACATTTAAATCAGATTCTGTTACCTCAAACGGTGCCTTTAAGGGGGTGACCATACATTTAACTCTGATTGGTCCAAATATACAGTGTTTAACAAGTTCATAAGACCACTAACCAGCCACAGCTGCCCAGAGGTTTTCATTGATTTAAAATAATGTTTTTCTTGTTTTTATGAGTAATTGTTGAGTAAATTAAACCCTATCTTAAGGAAATTTAAAGGGATTGAAAGCACATTTTAAAAGTGATTTTTTCCTTTATTGAAAGGCCAGAACGTCTTTGGTGGAAGACAAATGTTTTTATGTGCAGGAAAACCCAGATGAATATCAACAAATGTGAATGGAAACTACTCTAAAGAT